AAAGAGTGTAATTAAGTGTGCAGTGTTTTGTATGTATATTTATAAGAGTATAAATACTACAACTATTTTGGCATCGGTCTAACAATATCTATTTCTTAACAGTACAGATGACTTGAAAGAAGCATGAAGGGGTTCAACTAGCAACTAAAAAAGTAAATACATTTTTGACTCATTCAGCAGTCTTGCAGTATGAGGAAATTTTCCAACTATATCCACAGAGCAAGTTCCACACAGCCGTTAGTCTTACAGAACAGGATTATGCCAGAAGCTACACTGAATTCACGATTTGCATTTACTTACAGAAAAGTAAGACCACATGCCTTGTTTACTGTGAGATACACTTTTTCAAAGTGTCTGTGAGAAAAAAATTGCATGCTGAGACTGCATATGTAACATGATGGATAACTCACCACCATAACAATCCCACCAAGGTTTTTCCAAAAATGTGAATGGATCACATGAAGCATAGGGTTGACTACATTAAACCAATTGATGTGTCTGCCAAAATAATCTTTTAACTTCTGCTGTTTTTTGTCAAAAATACTGTTATCCTTCAATGGCTAAGATTGATTAAATGGGACATTTTAGTTCTGCTTTGTTTCCTTGCCCAGTTTTTAGCACTCATCATGCTAAAGTAATTTAACTCACAACACTTTCAGATAAGCTGATGAAATTCTTGGTTTAGATCAGGGAAGGAACTGCCCTACAAAAGTATCGTTATTAAAATGAGAATGCCATTAGAAGTCAGTATCTACGTAAGCATTTGCAGAATTGATGCCACAAATGTAGGTCCTACAAATACTATTGCAGGAGTTGTACACTGGAACTTGAAAATAATACTCATTTAACTTCAGAATTAGATCCATTTGAATTAAAACAAGCATGTTTCATTTAGCCTGTAATGTAACACTTCTGTAGGTTATGGTCTGTATTCTGTAATGAAATCTCCAAGCACAGATCCAGATGACACGTTCCTACTAAGACATACACATTCATCATCACAGTTCCTTCCCAAGGTAAGTGATCAGGATGTTTAACTGGAACAAGGTGACTAACATTTTAGCACATAAAAGCATCAAGATCTCCCTCTAGAGGACATTTTGTCTTTATCTGAAGTTTATGACAGCTTTAAGTGACAACAACTAAAAGCAAGGAAAAATTATTTTTTTAATAATACAGCTTTATTTATTAAAATACCATTTCACTTAAACAGTGTCAAGGAAAAAAATTAAGTAGTGTTTCAGGAAAACTTAACAAACAATTCAATTCAGAGTAAACTGAAGTTTTTAGCAGTAAACTGAAACCTCTTATCACATAAACAGTAACTTTGAAGGACTGCACTTAAATAATTGCAACAAGTGGTTATCATTTGTATTGCAGTGCTGAAAAGAGGCCCCAGCCAAAATTAAACATGTTCAAAGAACAACCACAGTAAGAAGTTGACCTCTGGCTGAAAGCTATAAATGAAGATACAAAAGTGGATTCTGTTGGACTTTCCAAGTTAGTTCACTTTGGTTTAACACAAAAAAAAAAAAAGAAATTAAGCTGAGATTCAGAGGTAAGTGCAATACAGTGCCTTGCACACACCAGATTAAAAAAGTTTCCTAAGGGATACTGGAAAGAAACTGTCCTATTACATGTGGCCAGCATAAATCCATCCCACCACACACATCACCCATAAGTGTTAGCATTTTTGTAAAAGTTAAGTATCTCTGTCATCTTAAGACCTCCCATTCAACTTCTGTTTTTAAAGAAACACCACTCCAAAGTTTCTTATGCTGCCCTAACCACAGAAAAACGTGGGGGAAAAGCCTCAATGTACTCCATTGGAAACATACTGTAACTAGACTGTGAAGTTACTGACGACATGACTTACAGCATACTAAGCTAACAGAAAAGTTTACAGAGTTTTGGTTTTCCTTCATTTTCTCACTACTGTTTTACCGGAAGGCACGAAACCAGAGAGCGCCAAGTTTGGCCTGCACAACGCCACAGGTCCACCAAGCGACCATGAACGTCAGCAGAGGCGTAATATAGAAGTGGAGAGCAGCACTGCTGGCTGCTCGCGGCGGCATTTCACGCACTCCCACCCGCGGCCAGCCCCGCGGCCCAGGCACGGTCAGACGAGGCGCAGACACCTCCCCGGGGGGCGCTTTCTCGCTCCCAAAACCCCTTCCCCAGCACCGGAGCCGTTGCCGCT